TGGTGATACAGACAGTCGTATAGGAGAGTGGTGATACAGACGGTCGTATAGGAGAGTGGTGATACAGACTGTCGTATAGGAGAGTGGTGATACAGACAGTCGTATAGGAGAGTGGTGATACAGACTGTCGTATAGGAGAGTGGTGATACAGACTGTCGTATAGGAGAGTGGTGATATGCTATGAAAAGGTCCTGATGTTGCTCACAGCATTCCTCTAGCTCTCTTACTGTAGATATCATGTGCACCGGGCTCCGCCTCTTCCCAAAGCCACACTGTGCCTCTGGCAGCAGACGCTTTGTTAGATACTCCTCCAGGCACACAGATCACACACACACACACACACACACACACACACACACAGACACACACATTACACACACACACCCAGACACACAGATCACACACACACCAAGGGACACATCACACATACACCAAGACACACACAACATACACACACCCAGGCACACAGATCACACACACACACAAATCACACAGACACACACATTACACACACACATCCAGGCACACAGATCGCACACACACCTAGACATACACACACACACACACACCCAGACACACACTGCTGTCACAGACATACAAACATTACACACAAAACACACACACTCAAAGACACGCATTCATATCATACACACACACATACAGACATCATACAAACACATTACACACATACAGACATATCACTCACATGGATATCTCACACACACACATCATACACTTTATACACAATGTCTGGTTTCTGGTCTCATGAAATTGCAAGGCAGTTAGTCAGTGATACTGGCTAAATGAACAACAACAATGAGCTCATATCAATGGCGTCACTGGCCTTGGTGTGACCTTCATGGTTATGTTCATGGGTCGCTGTTGGCAGGAATGTTGCCATAATTCTGACCAAAGGTACAAAATGAGCCAAGTTCTGAGTCATATGAATAAATACTGATGATTAAATACTGAGAAAGGTCATACACCTGAAAGCCATCTTAAATTAATATTAGTTTAGCAACTAGTTTCACCCATATTAATATCCATGTAATAATTCTTAAGCAGTTAATTCCACAAGGTATCACTGGGAGAACTGCAGCTGTGTGTTGTGCTATACGGCACTGAACTTTCTCTAAAGGATCTCAAAGCTTCCTTATCGCCAGTGCAGCTTAATGACCATGCTCCCTGTACAGCAGTCACATCAGCACCAGCAGCAAAACTAGACAAGCAGTCTGCAAATCCCCCTCATCCAATAAGGCAAGGAATCACCGGTAGCGGAAGGCGGAGGGTGATGTCATCACACTCACAACAATGGCATGTCAGCGGCCGCTTGTGTTGTATTTGTCTTTCAATTGGATTGTGCAAATATTTGTCCAGTGTTGAGTACTGCTGGAATGTGAACAGAAGTAGAAGGGAGAGTAACACCCCCCCCCCAAAGACAGAGGGAAGTGTGGAGCAGTCTCACTGCTGCTGAAAGATGTGCAGAGGTAGATGAGAGCAGGTCAGTTATACCCTCCTGGGAGGTAAATA